GTATTTGTAGCTGCATTGCAGACTTTACCATCTACCATGGTAAATAACATTTTATGATTTACAATCACTTCTACAGATCCAACAGTTATTTTGGTCCCTGTTAAATGTTTAATTTGGTCTTTCTGATAATTTATTTCCTCATTTGTTACATCCTTTGTGTCGTGAATAAACCTGATCCGCATTGGTCTGCAAAAGCGTGGTGAAGAGGGTGATAGATTATTCGAAATTACTTTCTTATTAGTCTTACAAAGAAGCTGAAGAGGTACCAGTGACGACTGAAAAATATTTGCATCAGAGTCACTAATGTTGGTAAACCTTTGTTTAAATTGGGCCTGCTGGGAGCCATCACCACCCCATTATTAATCGCGTGGCTGTATGGTTTAGCAATGCCTGTAATTTAATTTCTGCACATGTTTCAATGACCCGGTAAGCTTCAGCATCTGGGTAGCAATCTTCTTTTGTTTTTTGAAGAATGGAGTAGCCGGGGTATAGTTTCTTTGAACTTTCTCTTATAATTTCGTATTGTCTTCTAGTCAAAGAAGCTTCAACAAACATAGATAAGGCTTGTGTAGGCGTTAATTGTATAACTTTTGACTCTGTAGTACCGCTCTTTTTAAAGGCATCTCGATATTTATTACCAAGTGTCGGTGATGACATTATATCCTTAACCACGTGTGCTCCACTAACATTTCCAGATTCTCGAAGTCCCATTTGAGCAGCAGAAAGGAGAACTTCTGTCTGATTTTCCGTTCTCAGGCATGGGCGCCGGAAGGAATTCGTCTAGGGGGGGGCTTAAAGTTTTTTACAATTTTGATAGATGTTATTTATAATCAAGTTGTACTGTAGAAGTTCACATTAAACTTAAGTCAAATAAAATATTATTTTTATATGTATACCTATTTACATTTAATATATGTATATTTATATTTAAATCTAAATCCATAAATCCACACCATAAACTGGATATAAATCCTCAATCATAAATCCATTACGTTATCTGGATTTAAATCATAAATCCTAAATCCACTTGCAAAAAAGGATTTAAATCCTAAATCCATAAATAAATCCTCTATTTTTTAAATATTTATTTCATTAATTTTTTAAGAACAGTTTCCGGATTATTTCACTTTTTAAGTTTTATTTAAGCTAAAACTCCTTGGATTCCAAATCAAAATTGATATGAACCTTATTGCACGTATATAAGATTCCATCGAAGATCTTTGGAATATGAACAATGACCCGGAAAACAATCGGGATTTCCTGGTGAAGTCATGATGATATCACAACGTGATTTTTTTTATCACGCTGTGATATCCTGAGTGCATACACATGCTTCATCACAGTGATATCATGTAGAACTCACGGTGTGATATTTGCAAAATTTGCGCATGCGTATTAGACCTGCGAACTGCGAATTAAAAAACCTACCCGGACAACATTCGTGGTATTCATACGAACATCACGTCGTGATTTTCACAAATTTTATTCATACTGATATCAAACGGAAGTCACCGCATAATAAATGAAAATCATACGAACGTCACGTCGTGATTTTCACAAATTTTGTTCATATCTTGGATTTAAATTAACTATAATATAATTAATTAATATAGTTAATTTAAATCCAAGAAAATAGTTAATGTTTTTAACCGGAAAAACTGTTGATTCAACATAATTCTTCTCTTAGTGTACGAACGTGGCGCAAAAATGATTATCCAAACACCGTTGGCATAAAAAATCACGACATGATTTTTTAGGCCATCGGTCAATCGCAAACAGCGATGGCATAAAAATCACGACATGATTTTCATTTCTCACGCAGTGACATCCGGATGATGTCCGTATGAATAAAATTTGTGGAAATCACGACGTGACGTTCGTATGGTTTTCATTTATCACGCGGTGACTTCCGTATGATATCAGTAAGAATAAAACTTGTGAAAATCACGACATGATGTTGGTATGAATATCACGAATGTTGTCCGTGGATCTGTGGCTTCTGGTTTCTTCGCCATAGGATTATGAACGAAATCAGTAAACTGTGCTTCTGATTTCTTTGAACAGCCAGCCATTTCATTCATTTTACAACTGTAACAACACTAGTGCTCATTAAGACGGCACAAATCAAATCACAAGTTAAATTATCTAAGATAACAAATCTAATTTATCTAAAAAATAATGAACAAATGATAACGATCAGCACACCGTCAAATTATGGAGTACCGGAATTTCTGAGTATGAATTTCCAGGGGGGGGCCCGGGCCCCCCCCTGCCCCTATGTAGCGGCGCCCATGTTCTCAGGTGTTCTGTTTTACGACGTTTACTACAATGACTTAATTTTTCAAAGGCTTTCTTCGGACGACCTGCATTTAATGTATATTTTATTGGTATATCGAGAGTGCCTTGCAACCAATCATGATTTTTTTGTAAAAATACTTTTTCTGTTCGTTTGGAAGTCTGCCATTTTGATTTCAAATCAGACTTAAGTCGCGAAAACTTTTTTATAAATTGTTGTGTTTGCTCTCTTGGAAAAGTAATTTGATTTAAAATTTGATTTTCTACTAAATTTAATTTTTTTGAAAAATCATTTTCTTTAAATTCCTGCGTCATACAATAGATGCTTTGTCGAGTCTTTGAAATAGAGGAGCCTATAAAAAAGATAAGCTTAGATTAATAATAATATGGCAAAAAGTTTAGCTTGCCCAATCACAACCCGAATTTTATTTGCCGCATTGATATTTTTGGCAATTTCTGGCAGCTGATTTATAAAAACATGTAAAGTTAACAAATAAAATTTAAAGATTTATTCAAAATTAGATTCTGGAAAGGTCCGGAAGTACTTATAACAAAATAGTCTTTTAACATATAAAAAATAAAAAAAAGGTAGAAAATCAATTAGTTAACAAATGTCAAAAGAAATAATGTTATGAATTAAAGTTGTACATACCTGATTCTACAACATCCATCATAAAAATAACCAAAATTCATTTAACAGAGTTTAAAAACACAAAAACTTCACAGTTTTTTTAGATATTTACTTATTGTTAATACTTGGAATCACCAAAGCGCTTAACTGACATCTGATAACGCGAAGTAAAGTGACGCTAAGTAAATAAGCATGGCCACCTATTATTCTATGAACATTAAGCGTACGCCTGGTAACTTGCCGGAATTTGACATTTTGTTATTTTTGAATTTTAATCGAATTTATAGGCCACATACTCGTCTGTGCGTCATTAGAAAATTTTGTTTAATCTTTTGAAGTGAAACTTCTGATATTTTAGATTCGGGTAGGCCAAAACATCGGCCAAGGGGGTTGCTATGTTGCGTTGTAACGTACATATGTTTTGTTTTGTTCATTTTTTATTTCATTATACACTTTACATATACCTGAACCTATTTTACAATATATTATACTTATACAATAACATGAATAAATATTTTTGATTTGATTTGGCCCCCACGCAGCAGGTTCAATTCTCGGTGGAGAAATACTTTTTCTCTCTCTCAAAAATACTTAATTTTAGAAAAAATGGCTTTTTATTGTTAAATTAACTTGATACAATGTGGGACTAATTAAAAAAAAAAGGTCTCTTAAAAATACTTAGTTAAAAAGGAATTTTTGTGTGGGTAACGTTATTTTATAAAAAATCGCGCCGGTTTATTTTGTACACCATTTCGACAAAACTTGCTGCCGTTTGGTTTTAAACATTTACACAAAAAATTGCAAATTTTATTAAAAATGAAACCGTTAAAACCGTACATGTAATTGGGTAACGAGATACGATTTTTTATTATCGAACAAACGTGTTATTTTTAAGTCGAGTTTATTGGAAAATGTACATTTTCATGAAATAAACGATATTCTAGCGCAAAATTACTTAAAAAAATAAAAATTGTTACCAAATGGTTTATTTCTACCAAAAATATAAAATAAACAATTATGATCATACTCGAGTACCTACGGTAGAGTAGCGATTATTCTGTTTTCATTATTTCATAATAATTCGGCTTATTTGTAATTACTCGCTGTAAAGCCGACAAAAGACAAAGGCGTGGCGCGCTCAAAGCATGCCGCTCTTTAGGCGCGTGCCGAAAGCAAATTCGCTTCTGTTTTTATGCCATATAAATTTATTTCAGATGAAACTAATCAGTAGTTAATAACTACTAGTTATATTAGATAGCAGTCACTGCTAAGCAGTGTCTGTGTTCGATAAATTTTGCCCTATGTTTTAAGGTATTTATGAAATTTTATTATTAAAATAATTGTAATAAACGCGCATGCTGAAATGATTTTAGGGCCTGGGAAATAGTTCCCTTACAGGGCCCTCCCACGCCTTAAATTTTATGTCTTAGAGAAAGGGTTGTGAACTGGTTGGGGTGTTGTGTTTGTGTTATTCAAATCTTACCTAGCGTGCTGGGACGGTCACTACTCACTAATAACCAGAGACTTGTAAAAAAATATGTTTTACACAAATTTTATACTTTTATAATTATTTTGAAATTATCCTTCTCTCTTTCTCTCTCTCACACACACACACGTGTGTGTGTACATAACTAAAATTTCTCACATTCCCTAGTTTATAAGAAGTTTTACCACATGTACAATGCTGCACATGATTTTTTACATAAATAATTATTTAAAAAGGGAATATAAAGAAAAATTAAATTCTATTTTAAATATTACTCAAAAACTTCTCATTAGAAAAAAAAATTGAATTGTTCCCCTAAAATAATCCACCCTATCGGGTGTGCTCAGAAATATATATTTCTGTGGTGGTACTGTGTTATTTCGCAACCCCTTATAGATGGATTGAAATCGATTTTGTATGATGGTTCGCGTGCTATTGCGTTCTGCAATTTATATATAAAAAGAAATTAAGATTTTTAATCCGAGTTAATGATAAGAATGACATAGAATTTATCACAAAAATGATACAATTGTTTTATCTTATTGGATAGGAAATCGTTCTAACCTCTATAATAAATTATTTTTATAGGATGGAAAAATTGCTTTGCAAGGGTATAATGACTGTTTTATGTCAGTGGACGATGAGGATGATGCTATAGTTGCAAAAGACAGAAAAGCAGGAAGTAATCATGTAGTTAATATAAGATCACAAACTGTTAAACAAGATAATCCTCTTAAAGATGAACCTGTTGAAGAACAAGGAAGTATTAAACAAATCGAAGTTAACTATGTGTAAGTTAATGTTAGATAAATATTTTTAATGAATGAAATTATATTTTAAACTTTATTTAATAGGCTAATAAAAATTTTAGGAAAAAATTTCAAAAGTTTCAGGATAAAAAAATGAGGATATCAAAGGAAGATGTAAAGGAATTGGAAAAGGCAAAAGAAAAGGGTGAATTTCATGAAAAATTGTTGGATCGTCGTAGCAAAATGAAGGCAGATAGATATTGTAAATAATTAAATAAATAAACTTTTGACATACATTATGGGAATTTATTTTGTTACTAACTAGAGTGTTTTACAGATATTGATATAAAATTAAGGATTTAATCGATGGTATTTTTCATAAGGTTTACCGAATTATTTATAACTTATAAATATAATAAATTAACTACATCAGTTCCATATAACATCAAGACAAGAAACTCTAAGATTATAATTTTATTATTATGGTTTTTAATTGTTGATTGAGAGTTACTCTATTGGAAGTACATTTTAAAGCAACTGTACTTTAATAGTTACACAGTACATATTTATTAGTACAATTATTGGATACTTCCATTAAAATTAGCCCCAGTTTTTTATAAAAAAATCAAATTTAGCAACTTAAAAATTTACATTGAAAAAATTGTTCTGAAATATGCCTCAACTTATGTCACTCTTGGCTCTTGATGCTTTTAACCATTCTACAAATTCGTCCAACATTACAGGCCCTAAAACCATTCAAATTATTTATGCTATTGTAAATAAAATCAAAACAACTTACATGCTCCATCTACATCATAATTGGACAAGTCATTATAAATAGTTCTGGAAAATTCTAAGATATTACACCATTGGTCTTTATTAATAACTTTGTACTTTGACTGGTCAAGAAAGTGACTAAATTGTGAATACAGAGGCCAGTGTTTGCCAAGTAAAAGTTGAAGCATTGCTTTGGCTGTTTCCATATCCATACTTCTTTGATCTTTATCCTAAAAGACATTAAATATCTGTCAATTAACTTAACATAATCTTTTAAGTGTTCAATAACAGTTACTTTTCTTACTTAATATTTATACAGTGCTTAATTAATAAATAACATTTTCTATTAATTTAATGGATTAAACTGAATTTTTTGATTAGTCCAAAATTGTAAATAATGCATTTTTACGGCCTAGGTGATAAATAGGGCCCGGACTTTTAGGTCAAAAAGTGATAAAAGGTTCCTAAATTAGGTGATATTTTTAATAAAATAGGTATTTTAGGTACCTATATTTTATGTATGTGTTAAGTACATAAAATATAGGTACCTAAAATACCTATTTTATTAAAAATATCACCTAATTTAGGAACCTTTTATCACTTTTTGACCTAAAAGTCCGGGCCCTAGTGATAAATAAACTAATCTGATTTACTTTAGTAATGAGTGATGCAGGCTATTATTCACGAGGACGAGGTTTGCGTCTCGAGTCGCTAGACGAGAAACTCAAATCATCCGAGTGAATAATGCGCATAATTTCTAGAGTAATTTATTAGAAAAAGGATACAAATATGCACCGGAAATAAAGACAGACTTAGACATATTAGCAATAGAAATAGATACAGCTATTAGAGGTCACCCGCAAGAAGAAAAAATAAGATCAGAATGGATACAACTTATAAAAAATGAACAAAAAAAGAACATTCACAAAATAAAAACAAAAATACGGAGAATAAACTCAACAAAAAAATAATTATAAAAAATTCAGGTATAGTACTTGGATAAAGAAGAATATCTACACAAAAAAACAACTTTTTTAAATAACAAAAATTTTATAAAAATAGTAATAGGTCAATTCTGCGCACATCTGTAAGCATCTATAAGCAAATCTGTAACTTTCTATAAGCTTATAGACAATTTGCAATTCTGCGCTTCCTGTAGCTTACAGAAAATCTTATAGAATCGTAAATATTTACGATCGGGTGTTTCCCAATCGTTGCTAGTTACAGTTTGTTTTTGTTAGGTTATGTAAAGTTAGTTTAAAGATTAAAACCATGAATATTTTTAATAATGTCAATGTGGATATGATTATGGTAATATTTATCAATTGGGACAAGCAGCCTGGGCCAACTACTTTAGAAATAATTTCAATTTTGACTAAATAAAACAATAATTGTATTAATAAAAAAACTTTATATTTTTATTTTACATATGAAAATAAAATAAAATATTCTTAAAAAAATAAACCACAGCCTACTCGGTCAAAAAAGAAGTAAACAACAAAATAAATAAATATTCTAATTAGTCAAAAATTAATAGGTCAAATATCAAAATTTGGATTTAAATTTAATTTTTTTCATTTCAAATCCTAATTGTTCTTCTTTCAGCTTTATATAATTTTCTAAATAGTTTTTAATAAGCTCAAAATGTTTTTTTTTGATTTTCTGCTCCTTGTTCAAATTTATCCTGCCATGGTTGGCCCAATGGATAATCTCTATCCATTGCACCCAAATATCGTTCGACTGTTGAGGAGTGTTTTTTTATCTTCTTCTCTTTGTTGCTTTACCACTAACCATTGATTGACTTCTTCACTCAACGCACTAACAATTTTATTCATTATATATTGTATATTATATGTTCTTTTAAATGTAAAATTATCTTACCTTATTTTATTCCTCAACCAGTTTAAATTTCTTACTTTTTGTATTATATTATATGCTGATACATAAATGAAAACCGATAAACTGTGGATAAACCAAATAATACATATAAAAATATAGGTTATTTTGATCGTAAGTAAATAGGCGTGAAGTTGCAGTAGTTCGTTTATACTACTTTAAATTAGACATTTACAGATAACATCCCAGAATTGCCACTTTTACGATTCTATAAGCATTATAGTTACAGATCATCGTAAGCTATAGATTTACGAATTTACAGAAATTTTACGAGAACCCAGAATTGACCTATAAAAGTCTATTATTAAAAAAACAAAAGCAATTATAAAAAACTGTCAATCAACAATAAAGAAATTTCAATCCAACTCAAAAAAATAATACCAATGAACCCACAGATACCTTAGTTATATGGACAACCGAAACTACATTAAACAAATTATTCAATACGACCATTCAACTCTCCAACATATCTAGTTAAAAAATTTCACTAACAAACATTAACAACATTATAGAATTCCATCCACAACATACAATTAAAAATTCAGCAGAACTCGTCAACACACTACAAAAAATAAAACCAGAGAAAAACCATACTCATATTTTTACAAAAATTTGCTTGTATTTCCGAAACCTTACTATTTAGGTATAGGGAATGGTTATACCAATCGAAATGTAATTCATTTTCCTATTTGATTATGTAAAAACATGCATACCGTTCCATTGAAAATAAACAAGTTATTAATGTTTGAAGTTAACCAAATTTACCACGATTTTTCCCTGGTTTTTGATCATAAATATAAAAATTTCAGACATGGAATCTTTAAAACAATGTTTTAAGATTCCAAAAATCCTTACAACATACCAGCAAACCGAATATCAAAAAAGTTATAAGCAATTTTTAATGAAGGTGCAACTGTCAAAATTTTACGAAAAAAATTATTAACTCGAAAACAATTAAGTTTAGGTATAGGGAATGGTACAGCAATTTCATTAAGAATTTCATGTATATTCGGTATATATAGAAAAGCAACCACAACCAGTGCCATTATTCCATACAAATCATATTGTAATCAACAAAAATACTCCGCTTTTCATAACTTTCTTCATAGACTTATTAACATTCCTCTATCTAAACATGAATTCCAAAAAGAATATAACATAATCCAATAAATTTCTAGAGAAAATCAATTTGAAATTAACACAATTAAAAAAATAAAGAAACAGATAAAATGGAAAAACATTATAAAATTAATAAGTACACTGGCGAAAGAAATTAACGAATCACCATAAATTTATCATTATTTTGTTGTTAAATATTTTTCGAACCAATCATTTGATTTTAATGCTCTTTTTTTGGATTGTGTAACGACTCTTAGAGAATTTTATTATGACTTTAGTTCTTTTATAAATCTTTGGTTCTTTTATGTACAGGGTGTTATATTGATACTTGGTTTTTTCAAAATTTTTTTTATTTAAGCACAAAAAAACAGGTCGCATCAACCATTATAGGTTATTACCGACGTATACAAATACATATACAATATTTTAGGTAGGTATAGTACAGATAGATTATAAAAAATTATACAAATCAATTTCAATTAAAGTCAAAAAGTTTATTTGTTTCTCCATATAGTATGTGCTTCATTGAGCCTGTCAGGTGGCGCTTAATTCTTTCCAAGGTATATTGTGGACATTCAATAAGGATATGTTTGGTGGCAATTTGTGTGTCGCATATGTGGCACTGTTTGGGTTCTTCCTGCTTCATTATGGTAAGAATAACTTAACTTCGGCGGTTGGTCGGCAGGTAGTCTTCTTGGTAAACCAATTCCTTTATGTTCCTTAATTTATTGTTTGTTATTGGGTTCCATCTTTCTTGCCATAATTCTTTGCTTCGGTTTTTAATGTAAGTTTTTATGTCATCATATGGGACTTTTTGGAATCGTGGGATTGTTTCGCTGATTGAGATTGCTGTTGATTGGGCGAGTTGATCTGCTTGCTCATTACCCGAGATTCACACATGTGAAGGTACCCATAAAAAGCTTACAGCACATTTAATTTTGGCGAGTCTTCTCAGTTCCTCTTTGATATCAACCATTATCGGGTGTTTTGGGTAAAGGTGATTTAGACTAAGAATTACGCTAAATGAATCAGTTATTATGAGATACTTTTCTTGGCGGACGCCACTCCGTGTATAGATTTTGATGTATCGCAAATGTTTTCAATGTAAGAAGCTTCCGTGATACTTCCTTCCTCTTGGAATTACCACCAATTCCGTGCGAGCCACTGCAGTGACGCCTCCCCACACCATACAATAGCCTCCACCAAACATGACTGTTTGAACAATGTTACATTGAACATAACGTTCACCGTCTATACACACTCATCCGTTTATCACTGTTATGGAGACAAAATCTGGATTCGTCACTAAAATCTGGATTCGTCACTAAAATAACGCCACTCCGTGTATAGATTTTGATGTATCGCAAATGTTTTCAATGTAAGAAGCTTCCGTGATACTTCCTTCCTCTTGGAATTACCACCAATTCCGTGCGAGCCACTGCAGTGACGCCTCCCCACACCATACAATAGCCTCCACCAAACATGACTGTTTGAACAATGTTACATTGAACATAACGTTCACCGTCTATACACACTCATCCGTTTATCACTGTTATGGAGACAAAATCTGGATTCGTCACTAAAATAACGTTCTATTGGATTAAGATCCGGACTTCTAGCTGGCCAACGCATTGTGGGAATATTAACCTCGGCAAGATATTGTTGTACAATCCTGGCCGTATGCGGTCTAGCATTATCATGCATAAAAATAAAATTTTCACCGACAAAAGGTGCAAAAGGCATTAACAGCAAATGTTTTCAATGTAAGAAGCTGTCGTGATACTTCCTCTTGGAATTACCACCAATTCCGTGCGAGCCTCTGCACTTCAGAGTCTGCAGTGATGCCTCCCCACACCATACAAGAGCCTCCACCAAACATGACTGAACAATGTTACATTGACGTTCACCGTCTATACACACTCATCCGTTTATCACTGCTATGGAGATAAATCCTGATTCGTCACTAAACATAACGTTGGCCTCAGCCTCTAACCAGTTAACGTGTTCTTGAGCAAATGTTAATCTGGCTCTGCGATGCTCTACGTGTAACTGAGGGCCTGTTGCAGGTCTTCTGGGTCTTAAATTAAATTCACGTAGCTGCTTTCGTATCGTAACACTGCTTACACGAATATTATGTGTCTCTTCCAGGATATTTTGTAGTCTTGGTGCTGTAATAAACCGTTCCATTAACGTTTGTGGCAACAAAAATCGATCTTGGACATCCTTTGTGGCTCGTTTCTTCCTTTACATGGTCTTCTTACGTGCACTTGAGTCTCATGATACCGCCGCAGGATTCGAGATATAGTCGATTGATTGACACCAAGACGTTGAGCAATAAAACGCTGACTTTCAAAACTTAAGATGCGATTCTGATAAAGCACATTCATTCTGACATTCATTATAAAATATTGACATTTTGTTTGAAATGTCATAATTTTGACAAGACGCAACTTTAATGTGTATAAAAAGGTAAATAAAACATGCGGTGTTATTAAAATGTGTATCTCCTTTAATCAAAGAGATAAAAAGGTGAATCAAAAAAGAGAATGGTAAGGATAGAAAGGGCTATAGTTTAATTACAATTAAAGTAGCAGTAACAGCAAATCCTGAAAATAATTATTTTCAGGATTTGCTATTATAATAGTATACTGCTCGGCCATTTCAAGCGCGCGAAACGCACGAATTACAAAACTGTTTTTATAAAAAAAATTGTAGATTATTTATTATATAATATTTTGGCATCAAAATTGTCAAAAATATTCTTCTTTTATTAGGTTATACATTAAATAAAAAAAAACGCAAGAAATATTTTATGAAAGTAGATATAATTTTAATAATTGAAAGGGGTGGACGGGACAAAAAAAGATTTATCTTGTCCCGTCCACCCCTGTCATTTATTGAAATTATCTCTACTTTTATAAAATATTTCTTGCGATTTTTTTTATTTCATGTATAGCCTAATAATAGAAGAATATATTTGACAATTTTGATGCAAAAATAATATATAATAAATTACCTACAATTTTTTTTATAAAAACAGTTTTGTGATTTGTCCCGTCCATCCGCTTGAAATGGCCGTGCTACTTTTATCCACAAAGTGTTACAAAAATTTTGAAAAAATCAAATATCAATATAAAACCCCGTATATCAAAGAAACAAAGATTAATAAAAGAACTAAAGTCATAATAAAATTCTCTAATAGTCGTTACACAATTCAAAAAGAGCATCAAAATCGAATAATTGATTCGGAAAATATTTAACAACAAAATAATGATAAATTTATGGTGATGCGTTAATTTCTTTCGCCAGTGTATGAACGAAAATTCAAAAATGTACCAATATAGAAAAATTACATATAAAGGACCTGTTACAGACTCATTAAATAAAATTCTAACAAAATATATATATTTCGGGATGTTCTTTGATAAAAAATATTTTACTTTGTTGTTTTATTTTATCTAGGTATTATAATGTGTACCTGACTTTTAAATAATAAGGTATTGGGGGCCCCTTTGAATGGCGTGGCCTGGGGATATAGCCCCCAAAAAAATGTTGAATACTACCATTTAGGTGTCATAGAATAATAAAAAACTTGTGGATAAAAAAAAATTAAAGCTTTTATTTTTGGACCACTTGTAGGTAAATTAAAACGATATTTTGTATATTTATTAAACGAGTAAGTAGCATCAATTAGGTTAATTTAGTGTCAATTCAGGGGGGTGGTTTGAACCCCCTAAACACCCCCCTAAATGGCTCATCGCTCACAAATTTTTTCCCGCTTGGTTTCTTTAAAAATTCTGTTTATTTTTTAAATATTTTGGAGAATTTGACCATACCCCGTTTAAAACCATGCACCACATGGCTGCATAGACTTATTTCAACAATTACTGTTTCATCAACAACCTGTCCCTTCAGCGGACAACTGATTTTAAAATGTCAAACCACAATCCGCACTTTGTGGTCAAAACCAGGGTGGAAGAAGAAGGTGATATAGCTCCTATCTCTACAGTACAGAAGCAAGCGTCCAGATATTATCTTTTTTCGTTATCTTATAATTTGTTGTTAAAAGTTAAGTTGTTATAGAATATTTGGATTTCGTTGGTAAAACCTTAGGTTCTTAGTTGACTCGCTATCTAACGAACAACGAACGAAATACTGACTTATCTGCCAGATAAGTCAGTATTTCGTTCGTTGTTCGTTAGATAGCGAGTCAACTAAGAACCTAAGGTTTTACCAACGAAATCCAAATATTCTATAACAACTTAACTTTTAACAACAAATTATAAGATAACGAAAACCCAAGGAGAGTCTTCTACTCTCCTTAACGAAAATTACATCTTTTCTTACAGCATTATTATAATAATTTGCAGAACGATTGGCAATACTGTAGTATTGCCAACTGTTCTGCAAAAATGCACAGTCGCCACAAACGCACAAAAGTGACGTTAAAATGGTTTTATTTGAATTTTAATTAAGCTTAGTGGTCTATTCTTTAAAGTTAATCAATGCAATTTTTACTAAAAATGGGAAAAGTTTGTTGTGCACCGGGATTAAAACAGGTTCCACTTCAATGCGTCATATATTAAGACTTTTAACAAATACTGAGTTATTTGGCCGCGTTCCGGGATAGAGATGTATCACCTCCTTCTTCCACCCTGGTCAAAACCATAATTTAAAGACAAGGAATGTTGTTGCGCAGGCGTAAAGCAGAGAGGGGAGTAGCACTCTCCAAAGAGGTGAAGATGTTCTTTAACGCTCTCTCTCTCTCTTCATCATGTTTGTTATTGTAAAACAAAGTGTGACAAGTTAAAAATTGTATAGATATTTTTTTATTTCGTTTTACAAATTATGAGTGCAAGGAAATCTGTCAAAAAGCTGCTGGAATTGATTAAATCAATGTCAAAGATTGTCAAAATGTAAGCATTACGGCAAGTAATAAATGCCCGAATATGACGGGATCATGGATCAAAACCATATTTAAGAATATCAAACATTTTAGAACGTAAATGTAAATATGATTAAATAGAGAAGCGATGTGATTACGAAGTAAGTATTTTTTTGATGCAAAAATAATAGATAATAAATTACCTACAATTTTTTTATAAAAACAGTTTTGTGATTTGTCCCATCCGTACGCTTGAAATGGCCATGCAGTAAATTAATAGGTATATGGTTAAATAATTACCCTAGCAAAATCGTATGCGTATCTGTAGATGGCCTTGAAAACGTTTTGATCGTTGAGCAGACACCGCAGGTGATCGAGTCTGTACTGGAGTTTCTGTATGCTGTCGCACTGCATGTCCGCGAGCCCTTTGAGCCACTCGTCGCGCGTGAAGAAGCCCATCTGGCGCGCGCCCATTTTGTATGCCAACACCAACATCACGACGTTCTCTGGCTCGACGCCGACGTCCTCGCAGAACTTCTCCATGCCCTCCGGACCAAGGGTGTCTGGATCGTCGGGTGTGCTGTACTCTCTGAACCACGCAATGCACCGCTTCTGGCTGAACGATTGCGCCTCGTCGATACGGGATACTCGTCGTGAACTGAAACAAAAATTATGACATTGGTAGTTTATTAACGTTTTAAAATTATTTTTTTTAACGAATAGTTAGGTTAACGTTTTATTATACTTTTTTTTACGAGGGCGTTTAATTAAAGTCCATCATGCTTATCAAATTCTTAAATTATTAAGTAAACAAATTTTGTAATGCCCACTTTAAATCGTTTACCTACTCCCCTGACAACATTCGTGATATTCATACGAACATCATGTCGTGATTTTCACAAATTTTATTCATACTGATATCATACGGAAGTCACCGCGTGATAAATGAAAATCATACGAACGTCACGGCGTGATTTTCACAAATTTTATTTATACGGACATCATCCGGATGTCACTGCGTGAGAAATGAAAATCATGTCGTGATTTTTTATGTCATCGCTGTTTGCGATTGACCGATGGCACAAAAAACCATATCGTGATTTTTTATGCCAACGGTGTTTGGATAATCATTTTTGCGCCACGTTCGTACACTAAGAGAAAAATTATGTTGAATCAACAGTTTTTGCGGTTAAATACATTTAATATATTCTTGGATTTAAATTAACTATATATAGTTAATTTAAATCCAAAAAAATATTGAATATATTTAACCACAAAAACTGTTGATTCAATATACATACATATATGTAGGTATACTTTTTCTCTCAATGTACGAATGAGGCGCAAAAATAAATATCCAAACACCGATGGCATAAAAAATCAAGACATGATTTTTTATGCCATAGGTGTTTGGATATTCATTTTTGCGACACATTCGTACATTGAAAGGAAAAGTATGTTAACAATTGAATCAACAGTTTAACATTCAATATTTTCTTGGATTTAAATTAATTATATATACCTAGTTAATTTAAATCCAAGAAAATATTAAATGTATTTAACCGCAAACACTGTTGATTCAACATAATTTTTCTCTTACTTTACGAACGTGGCGCAAAAATGATTATCCAAACACCGTTGGCATAAAAAATCACGACATGATTTTCATTTCTCACGCAGTGACATCCGGATGATATCCGTATGAATAAAATTTGTGAAAATCACGACGTGACGTTCGTATGATTTTCATTTATTACGCGGTGAATTCCGTATGATATCAGTATGAATAAAATTTGTGAAAATCACGATGTGAATATCACGAATGTTGTCCGGGTAGGGTTTAAATTCGCAGTTCGCAGGGCGCAAATTTTGCAAATATCACACCGTGAGTTCTACATGATATCACTGTGATGAAGCATGTGTATGCACTCAGGATATCACAGCGTGATAAAAAAAATCACGTTGTGATATCATCATGACTTCACCAGGAAATCCCGATTGTTGTCCGGGTCCTACATTGACGAGAGCTCGTAACTTTATGGCGTTTTAGTTACGGGCTGAAGTTAACAACAGTGGCTTTTGGGCATTTTAGTCACGGTCTAAAATTAGCTTTATTATAAATTTCGAAAAAGTGAGGTTAAATTCGTTAGATGTCAAATATTTATGAATGGCTTTAAATTCTTATTCCTGTTTTATACACTTTTCTAGATTGTTTTTATTAAACACTCGCTCGCAAGCTTCGCTCGTGCCTGATAAAACTCGTAAATAAAATCAAAGGCGTTACAATGGGTTATAACCTGGACACCGTGGAGTGAGTCTAAGGGCGCCGTATTTTCATGCTTTTTTGTTTAATAAAATTATTTGTACTAAACTGTTGTATTCTTTTCTGTCCCTGATTAACGCTATAATACAAATATTGTAACTAAGGCGCCGCACTATGCCTAATTTTGCTCATTTAGGAAAGGAAAATGAAAAAACGAAAATTTTTTTAATCAGAGTCCATTACTATAATGACAGAAAATCAGCCTATTAACCTTTCCTGACCTCCTGTAGAGGCAGGATTGTTTGAAAGAAAATTACGCTTTTCCACGGTAATAAACGCGTTTTTTCGGTAATGTGCAATCCTTCAGTTTGAATTTTTCCTACATAGTACACGTCTCAAAGTAAGCAAAACACATTTTTTAAATTTTTTTAAAACATTCCTGGCTTCACTACTAAGTATGTAGCGGCAGTACCTTCACTACACAGGCAAAAAACATCATACACAGAAAAAATCATAAAACGTTCATTATAATTACGTAACAAAATATATGGACTGTCGAGGCCCAGATTTAATCCTATCCTTAATAAAATGTTCTACGGCAAACCTTTACAACGCAATAGACCGCTTCTTATCCTTTGTACAATTCCTACCCAAATTACTCTTCAAAATTCCAGCAATTTGGAAAACCCTGACTTGAGCCCCGAACGCAGACCGACGTCATTGAAGGTAACGTGAAAACTACCCGTACCTGAACTATAAAATCAATTCCTTTTTCTAGATAATCAATTAGTTGACACCACAATCCAAAACAAGACCACCACCTTACGGTTTCACTGAAGGTTCTGCAGGTTTCACTTTATAACACCAAAAACTATCGACACATTTGAATTAAGGACACCTTCCTAAAAACATATCTACTAATATTAAAATGGAACCTGCTTTTTCCCGCGTTTTGTGTGTTTTTGTATTAAAATTCTTTGTTATTTTGTTTTATTAATCAAAACCATTACCAAAAAATAAAATAGTTCTCAACTGTATACAAATATCCGATAACTATGCTAAATAATAAATTTCATTACAACATACTAATAATTATTCTAGTAGAAATAACAAAAAAACAATGTCAAGAAAAATGCAACAGCTTCAGTTTAACAACGATTGGAGGAAAATTCCGTAACAGCCTTCAACTTCAATTTTTCCCATATGAATTGAATTTATTTTATATCTGTTCCATATAATTAGAAATTCTCTCTGGACTGACTCTCCTGCCTGCTCCGACCAAAGTCCCAGCCCGCATCCAAGAAACGCAACTGTTTCATGTAAGTGGTTTGATTGATTGATTTGAAGGGGAGCCTCTGCATATAGCCCATTGTCCAAACTCCCTTTAGGTGAAGCCCTTCCTTAGCTTAGGAGCCAGCAACTTTTAAGAAAAACGCTGTTCCGCTCTGGTCGGGCATGCATTATTTCCTCTGGTTCCAGATACCTACCTGTCCCTGAGGTGTCTGTCTGCTATTGACTAGGGCGTCGCATTCGCAGACTATATGCTCGTTAGTTTCGTCTACCTCGCGGCAGTACCTACAATCCGTCTCGTTTCTGAGTCCGCTTTTGTGTAGGTGGTATATGACTATTCAGTGTTAGGACTCCTGTGATGACTCTAAACTGGTCCCTGTCAAGTTTTAGGAATCTTTTTGTCTCTTTACAGTTTGTAGGATCCTTTATAAAGACTCTTGACTGTCTGAGGCCTTGTTGTTCTCGCCATTTGTCTCGGAACTGGTTGTTAGTCCAGTTCCTGATCTTGGCTTTTACCAGACAGGAAGCAGGTTCTGGCCCTATAAAGGCTGTGTTACTGCCCTAACGAGCCAGCTGGTCTGCTTCTTCGTTGCCTTTGATAACTCGATGACCCGGTACCCAGACAAGGGTGACCTTTTCGGGCACACTGAGTAATTCTAGGGTTTTTATGCAGTCCAGTGTAAGCCTTTCTGAGTAAAGAGCCGGAGTGCTGCTTGACTGTCGCTACATATGTAGATATGTTTACCCGAGTAACCTCTTTGGAGATTATCTTGGGCACCGATCAGAATGGCATAGATTTCAATCTAGTATACCGTTAAGTATCGGCCTAGTGCAAGGCTTATTCTCGCCCCAGGTAGCTCCCCGTATATACCAGCTCCTGCACTCATTCACTAAAGATCCGTCCGTGTACCAGATGAGCCCCTTTGGTTTGAGAAAGTCTGGGTCAGGCTCGCTCCAGTCGTTTCTTGAAGGGATAACGACTTTATATCTTCTGTGGGGGGTTAACGTCTTTGGCATTGCATCCCTTCTTGTTAGAAGGGGGCCCCGGTTCATAGTATCAGTCCAGGCCCTTGTATGCCCTGAGTTCTTCCCCCTGTGAGCCCATTGTCCCCAATCGTTGAGTCTGACCGAGGCTTCCGAGCCCGTGCCTCCACAAAAAGATGTAGAGGCGTTGCCAGTGTTGGAGTGGTTCTAAAAGCCACAGATATGCCCATGCAGGTGGGTTTGCTTAGCGCATTTCACCATACTAGACTGCCGTATGTGTATGACCCCCAGATAATTGACTGATTCGGATAGCGTTAGTCTTGTTCCGAAGAGCGTGAGCTAGATTATTGAAGAACCCTTTCCCTGCTTAAAATACCCCATAGAGACCCATAAAAATAATCTATAGGGCGCTAACGGACTCAATTTGTGCATTTGTAGATGTTTTTTTCTGGATACGGCCCGATAGAAAATTTATAGGAAATTACCTATAGGCACACCATAACTTTTATATTTTCCCTATTGAGACTGATAGCAAATAACTCAAGGAAGGATATATAGGGATATCCCTATAGAGCAACCATAAAACATTTAACAAAATGTTGTTAAAACCTATGGGGCCCTAAGGGAGAAAAACTAATTTCTACATTTATGTGTATTTTCCCTATTGAGACCGATAGCAAATAAATTAAGGAAGGATATCCCTATAGAACAACCATAAATCCAACTAAGGGTCCTATACATACCGATACACCCTATAGAGACACCATACAATCCGCTACAAAAATCTATCGGTTTATGTAACATTTTAACCAGGGTTGCCAAGTATGATATCGGATTTGGCAATTTTTTTTAATGAGTGCAGCAACCTTGTTACTCCTGCCTTGAAGCGCAGGTTACATATTTCTGGACCAATTGTGCCTAGACTATATGGTTTACCCAAGATTCATAAGCCTGGCAAGTCTATGCGGCCAATAGTTCGGCCATTGGTTCACCGACTTATAAATTAGCAAAATGGTAACAAATGAATTTAATAACCTCGCTGTTAAGCAACCTAGTTTTTTAGTTAAAAACTTGGAGTTTATCGAGAAAGTCTAAAGTATGCAAGACAGTGAGTTATTAGT